GCATTTATTTGCGCAAGAAAAATCGGCACAACACTTGGACATCTCTCCTTCCAGGCTCACCATCAAAATCAGAGCTACATGTTGTTTACGTTTTTACAAGTTGTCATGTAGTTTATAGTCATTTATTTTGAAACGGAGGGAGTACATTTGAATCTGTGTATCCAGATTTTTTAAAAAATATTCTGCGTTTTTAGCCTTTAGGTACTGTAGTTTTAGAAACATTTTTTTGAGTAACAGAGAAACATTTTTCTTTGAGAAACTTTTTTTTTGGTAGGTACTGTTTGTGGGTAGTGGGCTCGCTCCCGAAAAGAAAAGGAGTTTTGGGCTTCAGCGTCACTCCACATCGTGGCCTGCTGCTGCTTCTCCACCACACACACTTTCCCCATTCCCCATGAGCTGCGAGGAGATGAGCCGCCGCCGCCGCCGCCTTCCACCATCGCCGGCGGCCGCGCCGCCGCTGGAGGACGAGAACCTCCTCTCTGAGATCCTCCTCCGCCTGCCCCCAGATCCGTCCTCCCTCCCTCGCGCCTCCGTCGTCTCCAAGCGTTGGCGACGCCTCATCTCCGACCCCGGCTTCTCCCGCCGCTTCCGCCTCCACCACCGCCGCAACCCTCCTCTCCTCGGATCCTTCAGCCATTTATACTTCGTACCCACCATGGAGGCCCCCAATCGTGTCCCGGATGGCCACTTCTGCTTGCAGGTCGACGAAGACGAGGTCACCGACCACTTCATATGCCTCGGGTGCCGCCATGGCCTCGTGCTCATCTTCCATGTGAGGCGGCTCCAGGTCCTGGTGTGGGACCCCGTCACCGGCGAACTGCATCGCGTTGCCGCTCCCCCGGGATTCGATGCGAAGGAGAGGCCGATTAGCGGGGCGGTGCTTCGCGCTGCTGGAGACATCCAACACTTCCAGGTGGTATTGGTAACCACACAGACAGACGACCAACAGCATACACGAGCGATGGCCAAGGTTTACTCGTCGGGGAGTGGCAACTGGGGTGATATCTTCTCAACACTGCTTCCATCCCAGGCTTCTAGGCACGAAATTCCCACCATGATCGGTATAGAATTTCCTGCTGTCCTAGTTGGGCATTCCCTTTACTGGTTGCTTACTGACAGTCGGGATGGCATCCTCAAGTTTGATTTGGATAGGCAGAGCTTAAGTGTGATACATGTGCCAGTGAATATCTATGCTCATGGTAATTGGCAGTTCACGGTTATGCGGGCGGAGGGCGGTGGGCTTGGTGGCCTCTTTCTGTCAAAATTCACTGCCCAATTATGGAAGTGGAAGACCGGTTCTGATGGTGTTGCGTCATGGGTGCTGGGAAAAACCATTGAACTAGACAAGCTCCTTTCCATTAGTTCAAAGAAGAGAGAGCCTCCAATGATACTAGGGTTTGCTGAGGACAATAATGTGGTGTTCCTGTGGACAGATTTGGACGTGTTCATGATCAAGCTTCAGTCATTGCAGTTCAAGAACCTTGGCGAAACTAACATCTTGTCTCGCTATCATCCACTTGAAAGTGTGTATGCTGCAGGTAATAGCATGCATTTACAACGCGGGTATAACAAAATCAAGATGTATTTTGTTATTTGATTGATTAAATGCTATTTGCAGAGTTTCGTGCTAAGCTAACAATTTCAAGTAGTGACATAATGCCGCATCACTTGTTTCTTTTGCTGCTTGATGATCTCTGCGACATATAGCAGTGTTGTTCTGTAGTGTTTTCTTTGGTTGTTGATGTGATCTAAACATCTATAGTGGTAGCTAGCCAGTTTTGCTTCTATAGCAAGGTGACTCTACTGTATTGTAATTTCGAGTTCCCTTAGTTGAAGCCGGTGGCAGCTGGGTGACTCTTGAATCCATAATAACGATGACTGGGTTTATTTACCAGCCATTTCCTTTTTATCAGAAGAGTATAATGCTGCAAGTGGCAAGTTCTTTTGTGCCAGAGTTAATAAGTCGAGTTTAGTTAATCTTTTCTGACTAAATTTGTTAAAAAGGTGAATAGTCGGGATCACTTTTATTGCTAGAACTTATTAGTTTGAATATATTTTTATTATGCACAATATGGCATGGATCAGCTAATAGTCTGAGGATGCATATTCTTCATTAGTGACACTAGTGAGTATATACTCTTTTGAGAATATTCTCTCCATTTGATAGTAAATGGGCTTTTGTCTATCTACTCCTATGTTGTATTAAACCTGAATTGTTTTCCTGAAATTATATGTGTGAGTTTATCAAAATATCTCATCGATGCCCCCCCTCATATCTATTTGACTTTTCATTGGAATGTTGTTGGTTCCCTGACTTAATATGCGTGTAGGCATGGGCATTGGTGGTGGACGTGGTGGAGCTGAACTTCTGCCCAATACATAAGATGATTGGTCCGATAGATATGCTATCGTGATGCATTTGATTGAGCAGGTAATCTTATCTTCAAGTACTAACTGAATGAAACATATTCCTTTTTCGTTGTTACATGGATATATTTATGCTTTACTTTTACTGGTTGCTACATTGCATTTGATATTTTTATGGCTATGGATTTATCGAGAGTGAGTGCAACTTGTTTGTTGTTCCCTCTGCGCAATTAATTGATAACCAACAATACTTAGTATGATTAACTTCCCTTGTAGCAACTGCCATTACACATTTCTGTCCATTTGTGGATCTTTGTAATACCTAGTGTTTGCTTGTAGTTATTGTACAATTATACTAGTCTAGGCCTCTTAGGCAAGTTGGTTATATATTTTCTTAGCATATTTTGTTTTTCACTCTTAACTCACATGTGTAAGCAGATATTAGCTTCTCAACTTTTTTTAAGACACTCCCATATAGTTTTGGACCGTCGATTCTACATGATCCAAGAGTCCACATTCATCATGCCTCATAGGAGGTAATAGTTTATCCACTACCAAGGGAGTAGCAATAATGAAGTAGGCAGCATATTTCATATGCCATTAAAAACATGACCTATATAGTATAATACAATAATCTTCTCTCATGGAACAAGGCAGTAGTACTCTTTACTTGTTTCTAATAAATTCCAGTGTCTATAATTTATTTTCAGATATAAGCACTAAATATTTGAAGAGTTCTGAACATTAAAAAAATTCTACAAGTTTGAAATTTTATTAATTAAGATATCCACATTATAGTTTTTGTCACCCTCAACTATTAATGGAATTTACATATGAGATAAATGCAATACCTTACACCATTTAAAGGTTTATAGTTATCTTTCTTGAATACGGTTGAAGATAAGCACTCCCCCTAGGCCAGCCCCAACCAACCCAGTCGTCGGCAAACCCCCGCCGGTAGCCCTCCTCCTCAGCCCCTCCCCTCCCCCCGACCATCCATGGCGTCCCCTCGCGGGAGCTCTGGCGACCTCGACCTCGCTTTCGCCGGTCGTGGCGCTGGCCGGACTTCGACGGCGAGTGGTCCGGCGGTCC